TGCCCCCTGTGCTCTTTCCATGACAAATTCCAACCCGGGCAAGGGACCCTAAGAGGGTTTTGATGGATATTATTCATTCCCAGTATCAGGGACCATCCCATGTCATTGGTGTGGACAACTGGGAAAACAATGGGTCTTTCCTACTGAGAAAGGCAATACTCCAAGATGCAAGATGTAAAATTAGTGTCTTAATGGATCTAGCCTGCATTCCGTCAACTAGAACTTACCACCCACTGGTCCTTCCACACACCTAGTACCTACAATGCAACAACTGATACTACTGGACTGGACTGTGGGAAAGGCCACCTCCAGAAGGGTTGCCTCTTCACACCTCTGAACTGCGGCATTCTATTCTTTTCTTATGTCATTTGCCACCACCTGCAGAATGTCCTCATTACCTGTGCACTTATTCTACTTTCCCTACCTGACTGTAAATCCCTTGAGGGCAGGGATGGAGTTTATATCTCTCTGTATCCACAATATGCTTTGGGTAGAACAGGTGCACAGTACTTTTCAGCTGTTGAGTGTTGCTCCTAAGAAACGCATCGGCCTTACCCAATCAATACCTTCTGGATAAACATGAAATAGAAGTCATTCAAATCATGACTAAGAACATTCTGTTGCAATACTGTTCTCCGAAAATTAGTAATCCCTTTGTTAGGTACACATAATGGAACTTCTCTTAATCAGAAAACCTATTTTCTCATCTTGTCAGACAATAAAGGGATAGCAGCCGGGCATGGTGGCTCATGCCTGTAATCCCAGCACTTTGGGAGGCCGAGGCAGGCAGATCACGAGGTCAGGAGATCGAGACTATCCTGGCTAACACGGTGAAACCCCGTCTCTACCAAAAATACAAAAATAATCAGCCGGGAGTGGTGGTGGGTGCCTGTAGTCCCAGCTACTCAGGAGGCTGAGGCAGAAGAATGGCGTGAACCCGGGAGGCGGAGCTTGCAGTGAGCCAAGATCGCGCCACTGCACTCCAGCCTGGGCGACAGAGCGAGACTCCATCTCAAAATAAATAAATAAATAAATAAATAAATAAATAAATAAATAAAGGGATAGCATGCCCAATTGTGTGTTATATCTAAAATTTGGTATATAGTGCCATACCCAAAAAGTTCAGCAGGTGACTATCTTCCTCTGAGCTTTGGCTCATCTAAGCACAAAAAGAGCATTTTTTTGGTCAACACTGTAGCTTCTGTGACCTGTCTGACTGTCCCTTGCATGAAAGGACTAATACATCCTACAGTTTATCTGCCCTTTACAGACACTGAAATCATGCCATGCTCATTATTAGACAGAAGGGCCCTGAGGTCTTCCTCCTTCTTGGTATCCATAAAAGACACCCATACCTGGTGAACTAAGGTCCTTATCTTGCCTCAGGCAGATTCAATGCCAAGACTCAACAGATGAATGACAGTTTCCCTTGTCATCTGCAGGAGAAAACAAAAACAACTCTCCCAACCTGATCTGTCCGGAATGCTCTTTCCCCAACTCATATGTCTGGTAAACTCTCCTACTCATCCTTCAAGAGTCAGATCAGATATCAGCTTCTCAGGAAAGCCTCCCCTAGCCTGATTCAGGTACGTGCCCCCACGCTGTGCTCTCCCAGTCCCTGGGCGTTCCTCTGTTGTCGTCTCAGCACACTGGCTTGTAATTACTTCCATGCCGCCCAACTCTGGAGGACAGTTTCTCAAAGTGTGACCAGAAACAACCTGGGTCAGAAACACCTGGGGAACTTCACAGAAATGCATATTCCAGGGCCCTGGCCCAGACATAAAGAATCTACATTTTTTTTTGGCCAGGCTTGGTGGCTTACGTCTATTATCCCAGCATTTTGGGAGGCTGAGGCAAGAGGACCACTTGAGGTCAGGAGTTTGAGACCAACCTGGCCAGGCATGGTGAAACCCCATCTCTACTAAAAATACCAAAAAAATTAGCCAGGCGTGGTGGCACATGCCTGTAGTCCCAGCTACCTGGGAGGCTGAGGCAGGAGAATGGCTTGAATCGGGGAGGTGGAGGTTGCAGTGAACCGAGATCGTGCCACTGCACTCCAGCCTGGGAGACAAGAACGAGACTCAACAAGAATGATTTTTTTTTTTTTTTGAGATGGATTCTCGCTCTTGTCACCCAGGCTGGAGTGCAATGGCGGGGCCTCTCAGCTCACTGCAACCTCCGCCTTCCAGGTTTAAGCGATTCTCCTGCCTCAGCCTCCTGAATAGCTGGGATTAAGGGGTAAGCAGCATCTTATCTCCTACCTAGGCAGGCTAGAAAGAAACATGCCCCAAGGAGAACAATGCATTAATCATACTCTATTCTCAGACATCAAGCCGCACAGTCTAGGTAGTGAGAAAAACCCAGGATTTGGGAAAGACTCAAGTTAAAAAACAGCAACAAAAATCTTCAATTACCCTTTCTCTAGACAACTGAGCAATGCTGGGCAAATGGCTTAACTTCTCTAAGCCTCAGCATGCACCTCTGTACAAACAGAATAATCCTACCACATAAGACACAGGATTACAGGGAAAAAATAATCATATGGATTAAGGGGAAAAAATAAATCAAAGTACATACATATGTATGATAAAGATTAATTTTCTGTGTGTGTGTGTGTGTGCATTATGTGTCATTTTTTCTTAGAATTATCACCAAGTGATCTTTAGAAGGCTGGTTTCTACATGGCTCCAATAAAGAACATAGTTACACTGTCTGACACAAAATACTAGAAATATACAATATATGTAACTACTCCAAGATTGCACAGGCAAGGTTTGAGTCACAGAAGCCCAGGGCAGGAAAGGCCTTCAGAGGTCTTCTAAATTCTGCCTGCCACCAGGCAACTGTTCAGACACAAGAGCTAAAGGTTCACCTGCTGTTGATCCTCTCAGATGCTCCCCACAACCACCATCCCAACCCTTCACTCTCTTTGAAGAGTTTAATCAAATGCTACCCACTGCTTCATTCTCTCACTACATGTCCAAGTAACTGGACGCAAGCCCTCGCCCTCTTGCCACCTCAGTATATAAGATTAACAGGATCTTGGTAGAGTAAGAGGTGGCCTCCCAGCTGTACGTCACTGCACAATGGCAGTCACTGACTACAGATGCAAGAGCTCACTCCCCTCACTATGGGCTCCCGCCCAGCACAACTGGCTCCTGTCAAGGTATCAGTCCCTTCGCTTCTCATTTCCTGCACCCCTGCAGTGGTGCATCCTTTGGGAATTAGTAGATCAAAATAAGAGTTATGTCTACTCTCTACCAGCCAAGGTGCAAACGTTTCACATACATTCTTTCGTGGAATCCCCGTGCAACCTCACAGATGAGGTTCAGAGCAGTTAAGGGCCTGCCCAAGACCCCAGGGAAGCTGGGATATGAATGCAGGTCTTTCCAGCTCCCAGCCCACTCTTTCTACTCTGTTAGGCAGTTTTCGCCCTCTCAGCCTGCTGACACAGCATGAGACGTTTCGTCCAGCTTCATCCTATTTCCAACACTGCTCAAAATCCTCTCCAGGGCTCACTCTGCCCATAGGTTAAAAGGACAGCCTTTCTGGCCAGGCACAGTGGCTCATGCCTGTAATCCTAGCACTTCAGGAGGCCTAGGCGGCCGGATCACCTGAGGTCAGGAGTTCGAGACCAGTCAGGCCAACATGGCGAAACCCTGTCTCTACTAAAAATACAAAACTTAGCTGGGCATAGTGGCACATGCCTGTAATCCCAGCCACTCAGGAGGCTGAGGCAGGAGAATCGCTTGAACCCAGGAAACAGAAGTTACAGTGAGCTAATGCCACTACACTCCAGCCTGGGCAACAGAGTGAACAGGGTGAGACTCCACCTCAAAAAAAAAAAAAAAAAAAAGGACAGCCTTTCTTGTGGGGCCAGAGGGGATGTTCAGAGTGGTCACCACTCTGCCCATCAGCTGTGTTAACGCAACACTCTGAAGATAACAAGAGCTGTAATGGAAGGTTTGGGGCTTTTCAGAGGAGCTTCCTTTGAACAGAACTGTAGGCAACTCAAAGGAGAGTTGCCCATCTAGCACTTTTCTCAGAGTGAGGGCAACCAGTGGACCCTAGCAGCTCCCCTCTAGGGCTTCTGCTATGAGCTCATCTGTGGCTTTTCCTCACCCAGGAACGGGCAGCAGAGGGTGTGTGCTCCCTCCCCACCCCTTACAGCCAGCAGCTGCTGGTTACAGTTACACATTCCGATACAGACATGCCTCTCAGACGAAGAGGGGGTGGGGGTGTCCGACTCTCAGAAGCCCTGGAACAAATAGTTGGCAACAGCTGTGTTCTCAGCAGACAGCAGTTGGTGGCTTGCTACTGTTCTCTCATTCCACACTGCTTTACCGGCTGGAATGAATGCAGTGCCCCCACTTCAAAGGGCGGCTCACCGAGCAATCAAGTCTCTGCCACAGGGGTTTGTTTGAAAAATCGGTCGGTAAGGCCAAAATGGGGTCAATTCCACACCCCTTCCCCTGAGGTGTCCTGGACGTCCCTCAGCCGCACAGCCCCAGGCACATGCTTGAAAGGAAGAAAGCCTTTCCTTTAGAAGAAGAACGGAGCCCTCGACCCACCCCCAGCGCAGAGTCCCTTCAGAACCAGAGGACTGTGAGGAAATCTCCACTAACTAGCCAAATCAAAATGGAGAAGGAATAAAAGGGGTTTGCAGCAAGAATCGCACTCTGCCTCTCCCCTTCCCCAGCCCCACTCTTCAGCTGTTTCTCCGTGAAGTTTCCAAAGCAGTTTTACAGTATCTGATGGAAAATCAGAACTGGACAGCCCTAGAGAAACCTCGGGGACGTAGAGGGTTAAGAACACGGTGGCTCTGAAAGTAAGGAGCAGCTAGCAAACAAGAAGGGAGACTGGAAAGTTCTGTGTGGGAGCTGGCCTGGTCTAACCGAGAGGCATTTGCTAAAATATTCCCTCCACCCAAAGCAGTAGTACAATAAACAAGCTCCCACCCCTTCTTCCCTTCCAAACCCGATCCATGCGGAACCAATTACCTGTCTAAGACCCAAAAGGAAAGGCATCCTGCAAGAGCATCGTCCACACTAACGTTGGAACAAAGGGCTCTTAAAAGTTAAGGTCTTGGAATGAGCATTGCCCCTGATGGGCCTGTGTGCGCGGTGGTCCTGGTTCACCAGCCTTCCTTAGCAAAGCAAAGTAAACAGAGTCCTGGGACCGAGCAGGCACACTGTCTCCTGCTCTCCTCGCTACTCCCCCCGCCTGGTTCTGGCCCACCCCCACCTTCTCGTGACATATCTCAGACGCAGCAAAGCCGAAGCTGTCTGCCAAGTGGGAAATGACATCAGTTCAGGCGCAGCAGAAAAAACTTCAGACAGCTGCGCTGGAATACTGAGGAGGATGTGCTGCAGACCCGCAATGCCCAGCCCTGGACCCACCTAGAGCCAGAGCCCACTGTGGGAGGATGGTGGGGGTTGCAGATGGGAGCAGGCTGCTGCATCCCCTTGGCTCTAAGTAGGCTCGGGGGTACATAAATCAAGTCTCTAAAATTGAAAAGAGGAACACTGCTCTGAATAAGGACTGACTTTGTAGCTCCTAAAGTATTGTTTCTCCTCCCTGGGAAAGAAAATCCAGTCCAGTGTCTGTCAGTTTCACAGAAACTTTTCCACCCCCACCCCTGCCAGAGTTGGTCTCAATACATAATAGGACAGGAAGCCTGGCTGTCCCAACTTTCTCTAGGGAATGAGGCAATTCACAGTGGGGGCTTGGAGAAGCACCTTTTCCCCAGCTAAGGTAGGACACGCTACCTTGGACGCTGCCCTTTCAAGTCCTCGCTTCCACCGGAGAGTTTATATTTCATAAACAAACTACACAAGTACAGGTGCCAACATCTTTCCTCACTTGTCTTATAAAAGGTACAACAAGTCCCACCGCAGCCTCCAAGTTGCCAGAAAGGCAGATCATCTATATTTAAACCAACTCTTGGTTCGGAAAAGTTCACCGCCTTAGGTTTGTCGTGTTTTCTTCACTAAGTTCAGTTCAGGGAGAAAAGAGTTCTCTAACGCAAGCTTTGCACAAGCAAGGGCCCTGGGGATGGTGTCCTGCTCTGACTTTCCCTAGTCGGTGGTGTAAGCCAAATCCCTTTTGGCTACCCTCCCTGAAACAGCAGGTCACAGCAGTTCTCCCTGGGCCTGAATCCTCTACCAAACACAACACTCGCACAGTACAAAAGGTCTATGTTTGGGTTTGGATTTCCAGAAATGACTCAAGGAGAACAATCTTCAGAGGAGCTTTATAAATCCAAAGTTACTTTTTTTTTTTTTTTTTTTTGAGATAGGGTCTCACTCTGTTACGCAGGCTGGAGTACAGTGGCGTGATGATCTTGGCTCACTGCAACCTCTGCCTTCCGGGCTCAAGCGATCCTCCCTAGCTGGTACTACAGGCACATGCCACCATGCGCAGCTCATTTTTGTTTTTTTGTGTAGAGATGGGGTTTCGCCATGTTGCCCAGGCTGGTCTTGAACTCCTGGACTCAAGTGATCTGCCCACTTCAGCCTCCTAAAGTGATGGGATTAAAAAAAATTACTTTTCACTAACTTCCTCGGCTACAAATTAATTACACTGTCCAGGACTCAAAGCAAGTATATTTCATCTTTTCTTTCATTTTCTGCAACAATTTTCTTTCATGATACTTATCCAAGGCCTCTATGGTAGTGGCACTGTGCTGGGCATCATCCATGAAAGTCAGAAATGATTCTTGCAAATTACTATCTATAACCCCCAACCTAGGACAATAAATTAGCAGCACATGACACGTACAGCACAGTGAGGTGCCAAAAGTACTGTTTGATCATTAGAATCCAGCCAGACACACAACGTGTTTACTGCAGGTCCCCACTGACGGTCAAGGTCACATTGACTTTCCTGACAAGAAAATGAATGTGCCAAACTGGCTGAGCCATTTCCTCGAGACTCACAAAAAGAATGGATCACAGCCTCACTGCTAGAGGAAAAGGTGGCTGATGTGTAAAAGAAGTGGCTCCTGCTGCTGCCGGGGTTTAGGGACTGGGAAGCCATTCTTTAGCACATACATATTCTCAAGATACGGTCAGTCTATCCCAGGCCTTTTTGCCACTCTCACAACCAGGTCAAATTGCCAGACAGACGAGGCTGGACATCAAGGTACAGCCGCCCAGGGAAGAGCAATGAGGCTGCTTTCAACCCCTTCCTTTCACTTCCTCGGTTCCCTGGCAACCACTGAGAACCACAAAACACACACAGCATTAACTTTGGCAATCAAACTGATGGAAAGAGCATCCTCATCACCTCATGGGCAATGTAATCTGCACTGATCTAACAAGACAGACTGGCACCTGCAATTCTCCAGAAAGAGTGCCATGGCATAAGTGTACCATTCATTCACTCACTCCATGCTCATTGAATACCTACAGTGTGCCAGGCATTGTTTCAGGCACTGGGGATGCCACTATGACCAAAACACACAAGAAACCTTGCTCTAATGGGCTATGAAGTGTTCCATATTTTTCTTCCTTCCATTTTTGTTTGTTTGTTTTAAAAGGTAAGGTTTTGTTCTGTCACCCTAGGCTCAAGTGATCATCCTGCCTCACCCTCTCGAAAAGCTGGGACTATAGGCACACGCCACCACACTCAGCTAATATATTTTTATTTTTATTTTTATTTTTTGTAGAGACAGGGTCTCACTATGTTGTCCAGGCTTGAACTCTTGTCCTCAAGTGATCCTCCTGCCTTAGCCTTTCAAAGTGTTGAGATTACAGGCATGAGCCACTAAGCTTGGCCCCATAATTCTAAATAATATTCATCAGTGATGATCTCAGAAGAAGTGGAATTGCGACAAAATTACTAGAAATCCAAAAAAAAAATTCGTAAAAATACAACCTAAATGATCAAAATTGCATTATAGACTTCCTGATTTCCTAATGAATCATCCTTTTATGATGCTACCCAAGACAGTGTTTCTAATCAGCATTTGTCTATTTTTATCTTCTCACAGATTATAAATTCCTGTGTGCAAGGCAGCATTTAACCCAAGGCATTACACCTAGTACAATATATTCTAAAAAAGTGACTGCTGACAACAGCTTCTTTCTTACTAATCAACTTCTTGCCTACAGCCCCTCACTAACATTCACTAAGCACTGAGATCTGAGGGGTGAGGAGAAAAAGAGGTTGAGTTGGCAAATTCAGGCATTCCCAGGAAAGTGAGTTCACTTTCTGCCATGTTATACAAATATTACTACAACCTAGTGACAAAGTAGTCAGCTTTGCCATTTGAAAAGCAAGATGATCATTAACAATTTCTGTTAGCCTGAAAAAATGGGTTCTTCTATGTATGTGATCCAGTCTCATACATGATGAGCCAAAGGTAGGGTAAATCCTTCTTCGAATGACTTTAGTCATCCGCCTGCCAATGCAGAATTAAATTCAATGTTGAATTCACCAACTTAAAAAAAAAAAAAAAAAAAAAGGAAGTCATACTAAATTAGAATTAAGCAGGATTATGTTGTCAAAACGTTGCAGGTTGGCTGGGCACCGTGGCTCACGCCTGTAATCCTAGTACTTTGGGAGGCTGAGGTGAGCAGATTGCTTGAGCCCAGGAGTTCAAAACCAGCTTGGGCAACATGGCAAAACCCCATCTCTACAAAAAATACAAAAATTAGCTGGGCATGGTGGCACATGCCTGTTGTCTCAGCTACTTGGGAGGCTGAGGTGGGAGGGGCATTTGAGCGCAGGAGGGAGAGGTTGCAGTGAGCCAAGATCGCACCACTGCACTTCAGCCTGAGCGACAGAATGAGACTCTGTCTCAAAAAAAAAAAAAAGTGGGGGGCCGGGCACAGTGGCTCATGCTTGTAATCCCAGTACTTTGGGAGGCCGAGGCAGGCGGATCACGAGGTCTGGAGATCAAGACCAGCCTGACCGACATGGGGAAACCCCATCTCTACTAAAAACAGTGACACACACCTGTAGTCCCAGTACTAGGGAGGCTGAGGCAGGAGAATCACTTGAACCTGGGAGATGGAGGCTGCAGTGAGCTGAGATCATGCCACTGCACTCCAGCCTGGGTGACAGGGCAAGACTGTCTCAAATTAAAAAAAAAAAAAAAAAAAAGGCCGGGCACGGTAGCTCACGCTTGTAATCCCAGCACTTTGGGAGGCCGAGGCGGGTGGATCATGAGGTCTGGAGATCAAGACCATCCTGGTTAATACGGTGAAACCCCTTCTCTATTAAAAATACAAAAAATTAGCTGGGCGTGGTGGCAGGCACCTGTAGTCCCAGCTACTCAGGAGGCTGAGGACGAGGCTGAAGCAGGAGAATGGCGTGAACCCAGGAGTCACAGCTTGCAGTGAGTTGAGATTGTGCCACTGCACTGCAGCCTGGGTGACAGAGCGAGACTTCGTCTCAAAAAAAAAAAAAAAAAAAAGCTGCAGGTTAACAACTACTTATGGCCCCAAGCAGCATCTGGGATATCCTTCTACTGAGGCAGTTTCCTCCTCCGCAGTTCAGAGAATCCCCAGAGATAGTACTGCTGAAAATATTACCCTTTGGATTCCAATTAACTTTTTTTTTTTTCTTGAGACAGAGTCTCATTTTGTCACCCAGGCTGGAGTGTGGTAGCACGATCTTGGCTCACTGCAACCTCTGCCTCCCAGGTTCAAGTGATCCCCCTGCCTCAGACTCCCAAGTAGCTGGGACTACAGGTGTATGTCACCACTCCCAGCTAATTTTCATCTTTTTAGTAGAGATGGGGTTTCACCATGTTGGCCAGGCTGGTCTCGAACTCCTGACCTCAAGTGATCCATCCACCTCAGCCTCCCAAAGTGCTAGGATTACAGGCATGAGCCACCATGCCTGGCCTCAGATTAACTTTTTAAATTTTTATTTAAATGTTTTTTTTGTTGATACATAGATGAGGGCTTCCTATGTTGTCCAGGCTGGTCTCAAACGCTTGGCCCCCACTCCTTATGAGCCAGGACAACAGGACTGAGCCACTGAGCCTCCCTAAAATTTTATTTTAAATAGGAAGTCTCGCTCTGTTGCCCAAGTTGGTCTCGAATTCCTGGCCTCAAGCAATCCTCCCACCTCAGCATCCTCAAATGCTGACATCACAGGCATGAACCACTGTGCCCTACCGGATTAAATTAAGACATACTGCAACAACATATATGCTCACAGCTACCTGAATTCATTCTTTTACTGTAGTAAATTTGTTTAAGTATGTTTTGGCAACATTTCTGTAGGCAGTCTTTATATGTATAATCTTTAAATTCTGGGGTGGGGTAGGGGAGAGATAATCATTTGTTCAGCCCTGACCATGAGCCAGACTCCATGCTAAGAACTCTATCTAACCAACATCTCAAAGCCACAACAACCCTAGGATGTGGCTATTACTATCCCTATTACTCAGCTGCAGAAATGGAGGCATATGGGGTTTATGTAACTTGCCCAAGGTCACACAGCTGGCTGTGAGACAGCAAGGATTTGAGTGAAGACTCTGGCTCCACAGGCTGTTTCCTTTATGATCACGCAGGCATCAGATATTAGAATATAAGAAGTTACAAACAAGGGAAAAAAAAAACAGCAAAAATCAGAACTGAGGGTCAGGAGAATGTTAAGCAGACAGGCAGGTCCCTGGTCAGCGCTCTGGAACCCTGTTTATGAGACTGCCGTGCACACCGTATATGATGGTGGCATTCTGGAGTGTGAAGTCAGAGTCCTAGGGTCCCTCTGACCCACTTTGGAGAGCAAGGTTCTATGAGGTCAATGACTGGGAAAGCCCTAACATTCTCATCTGTTCCCAATGCACAACAGATCCACACACAAGGAATAGGCTGGAGACCTTCCCAGGTCATGGCTCTTGGGAACCTGGTGAGCTGCTCCCACACCCATGTCATCTGGTCAACTGAGGGTGATGGCAACTACGGCTGAAGGTCTAGGGGTATCTTATTTCACAATCAAGGGATCTGAAGAAAGAGAGTTTGTCAGAACAAGACAGTAACTACCAGGCTTCTAGGGTAGGAGATAATCTCCAGGCGTAAGGCCATTTGGTTTCCAGGAGCTTTGAGCAGAGGCTGCTGGGCAGACACAGAATGTCTAAGATAAGAGATCTTTCTTATCTTTCTCTGGTTTGGGCACGCACCCATTTAAATGCCTTACAGTTCTGACTCAAGAAAGGAGAGAATAAATACTAACTTAAACCTCAAACCAACATGAGTGTCACAATAAAAGTTAAACTGAGACATCTTCTTGTCATGGGTGTGA